GTTCAGAGAGTAAGAAAATGGTGTTTGTAAAGTAAATGTATCAATTACAAATCCACATACCTGAGGAGGTGGTAGTTTATTTAACGTGCAGTACAAAGACGGCTGCATTTCAAAATCCTGTCAAAAACAAAACATAACTTGATGATATTTAGCTTGGCAGTTGCTTCTAATTTATCATATTTCGTGATTGCTACTACTACAGTTAACTGAAGTTTTAAGTACAAGCACAAAGAATGGTAGCCTCCCACGCAGACGCTCTTGGGGCTCGTCACGCGTTCCTTCCCCACGTTCGCTAATAGAATGGCGGATCAAGGCAAGTAAAGAAGGACGGGTTGAGAGGAGAGGAGGGAGATAGAGGAGTTGAGAGGGCTACTCTCTGTAAGTTACCCGACGTCGATCGGCTATGGGATCCTAATTCAACACAGAAGACAAAACCTCTGGTGCTAAGGGGAAGAGTGAAAACATTCACTGATTTTGTGAGTAAATGTTGCATATTTATTCCAAAGACTGACTTCGGTTTGCCATGGTGTCTCCAACTCAGGTTTATGTTTCTACGACCACTTCCAAGGCAGGAAAAAAAATTCGAAATCCAGTTGCCCAGTGGGCTAGTACATTTTAGTTTTCAGTTGACCCCGCTAAATATTACCGGCTTGCCCAATGGGCACGCAATATTCAGGCCTTATCAACTAACAAGACTACTGAGGCTAATTCCATTTTCCCACTGGACCACCAACCTTCCATTTTGCAGTTCCACAGTCGAGTCAAATGACGCAGGTATTTATACCGTATATAATATGCCAAAGATTACCTGTTTTGCTGGAACTCCTTCGCTTTTTCCCGCCACTAACATACATGGGACAGTCTTGGGAAGTTTCTGTGGACAAAGGCAAAACATAAAAGACAACGTCGATCGAGGTTTCTACAGAAAAAGGACAAACTATGTTCGTACAGCAGATCGAGCTGCGTCACTTTTACCCAAATTTGCCACGAAATTAGGCTTTAGGAAACAGGATTGCTTCGCTTTTGCGACTTCCACGGTGTTACGTCTTATATTAACTGGAGCGTCGTGAAACCAAACCCAGCAAAGTTGACACTATGGCTATCCTTGCTCCTTTGATGTTCAATCATCATTATCTATTTATGAATTTTCCTTCATAACTTTGTTGTGGCTAAGATTGGGAGGGATTGAAATAATGAAAAATTTACGCTAAATATTTCAAGACTCGCACACGTTTTTCCGCGCTTTCCATCGGCTGCATGTATTTGATCGGAGTTTTGATTGGTTCACTGTTTTGCCTGTGTCCTTTGTGATTGGCTAGAGAAATCACTTTAATTTGGTTTAACGACGTTCAACTGAAAACCGCTTTATGATATTGTATAGTAATAAGTCTTTACAGTACCTCTCGTAGTTGTATCACTTGAGTAAAAGAAGCAGTATCCGTTGAATCATAAATAAAACACGCTACATCACACCGCCTGTCGTGTAACAACAACCCAGAATTCTCCCATTCGATTTCACGTAACTGAAACAGGTAACAAAAGAAAGTACAGTTAAACATATAACTACAACTAGCGTTTGCGGCAGCAATTTTAATTGAATCAGTCTTGTTACTAGTACTGCCGAAATCCACTGATAAAAGTTATAAAAATTGTCACGTTGACAGCTTTTCGCTCAACTTGGGTGTTTTTATAGGACAGGTTATACGAAGTAGGTTTCTTACCTTCAAGCCTGTAAGCAAGCTCCCTTGGGGCAGGGGCTGCCGGGAGGGAGCTTCAAGATGCTACAGTCACTTACCACTAAGTATTTTTCTTGTCTGTTAACTTCTAGAAGATTTATGGCATAACTTGATAATTCCTGTTCCGCTTCACCAGGCTAAAAACAAACAAACAAACAAATAAACACAAGTACATATTTCAGAGGATCACGTGAAAACATGTTGAACTTAGAACTTAAGTCACGTGAAAGATGTCACGAGAGACTGTCGCCATCAGGATGTATTTTAAAGGTGAAGTATGATCAAACCTAGTGTGTGTTTATTATTATATTATTTCATATATACTTCACAGGATGTATTTTGTTGCCTAGCAACATCCCCGCAGATACTAGACTGACTTACCATTCATCTACTCTCTAAGGCTGGTTTTCACAAGGACATAAGCATTACCATAATCAACATTGGCAAATTCAGTAAGGCGCTGTTAATTGGTGCCTTTTATTAGAAAATCTTCAAGACAAAAGGTTTTCTGTGAAGACCCGAGTGATCATCGCAGTTACGACATACATAACTTTTAAAAGCAGTTGTGAAATTAAAGCCTGGAAACAGGATTTGAATCCACGACCTCTGACTCCGTAGGATAGTATCTGAGGATAGCAGGAGAGTATCTAGTTTGAGACTTTCACTACTGCTTACCTCTTGAGTTCGTCCTAAAAAGGCTTGAAGAAATGCTGTCTGTAGCAAGAGGAATAAACAACAATAATTGGATTACACTAAAAAACGTTGAGGTGATTTATAGATTGACCAAAAACGGGGCCTTGAAAATTACTACAAACAGTTCGGATTCTGCACTTGCTCGGGTTGGCTTCTCTAACAGACATGACATTTCACGACACACCTACTGACTTTTAACCTGGTTTAACGTTTGCAGCAGACTTACCTTTCCTACACCAGGCGGCCCAAACACATAACACTGGAATACAGAACGGGAAGTCTGTTTCTTCTGCATATCAACAACTTTACTGCGGGTAACTACGAGGACAAAACGAATACATATTACTATTTAAGCACTGCTTAACCACACCAAAACCAGTCATGCGATGCCTCTTTAGTAGGCAACCTAGTGTGTGTTTAGCCTTCAGGTTCTTTTTTATAACAAATAATTTTCTTTTATCTCATTAATCAACTTCTAATGCACTTGATATCCTCCATGTAACTTTGCTTGTGAGTCAATACAAGATTATTTGTAGCTTGTACCAAAACATGAGCAAATAAACACATGTATAAATGAAAGTGAAAATTAACCAAATATACACGTAAATAAATAAAGAAACAAAAAAAAAATGAATACAAATAAACAAACGTAAAGGCACAAAAAGAAGAAGTCTGAAGAAAACAATGTATTCAAAAGAAGACAACAAGGGGATAAATAAAAGCAAAGAAACAAAACAAACGGAATACAGCAGAACAAAATTGGAAAAAACGAAGTCACAATAGGCTGTTCCAGTTATATGTTCGACGACGCTTCTTAATTACGAGCGGCATCGTAGCGGTTAAGTGTTTTACAAGAAAAAATTAAAAAGCTTATTACTCGTTTGTATTTTTACCTTGAACTGTTTTACAAAAATTAGGATGAATTTTAAGTTTTATAAACTGTTAAAAATACTAACAGAAAAACCAAAGATTAAACTGAAAGTTACTGTTAAATTAAGGTTTGGATGTTGAACAGTTTTTGAATGACGTGAAAAAAAGGTTATCGTTAATCACTAGTTAAACATTTCCACGAGTTTTGTTAAGTACCCAGTTTAGTATCTGCTGGAGCCCAGCGAGAGTAAGAAGATAAAAGACGGAACTTTTTTCGCATCTGAATGAGACGAGACACAGACGAAACCAAGGTGAAAGGCAAAGGAGAACAGACTAGAAGAGAAGTTAAGAAGAAAGGAAAAAACACAGTCAGTAGAAATTAGAACATTTAACAAGCAGTCTACAAATATTTTTCATCGTATTTTACTCTTGGTAACAATGGAGTTAAAGAAACCTCGATGGCGTGTTGTACATGTAGCTCAAGAGGACAAAGNGCTTGTGAGTCAATACAAGATTATTTGTAGCTTGTACCAAAACATGAGCAAATAAACACATGTATAAATGAAAGTGAAAATTAAACAAATATACACGTAAATAAATAAAGAAACAAACAAAAATGAATACAAATAAACAAACGTAAATGCACAAAAAGAAGAAGTCTGAAGAAAACAATGTATTCGAAAGAAGACAACAAGGGGATAAATTAAAGCAAAGAAACAAAACAAACGGAATACAGCGGAACAAAATTGGAAAAAACGAAGTCACAATAGGCTGTTGCAGTTATGTGTTCGACGACGCTTCTTAATTACGAGCGGCATCGTGGCGGTTAAGTGATTTACAAGAAAAAATTAAAAAGCTTATTACTCGTTTGTATTTTTACCTTGAACTGTTTTACAAAAATTAGGATGAATTTTAAGTTTTATAAACTGTTAAAAATACTAACAGAAAAACCAAAGATTAAACTGAAAGTTACTGTTAAATTAAGGTTTGGATGTTGAACAGTTTTTGAATGACGTGAAAAAAAGGTTATCGTTAATCACTAGTTAAACATTTCCACGAGTTTTGTTAAGTACCCAGTTTAGTATCTGCTGGAGCCCAGCGAGAGTAAGAAGATAAAAGACGGAACTTTTTTCGCATCTGAATGAGACGAGACACAGACGAAACCAAGGTGAAAGGCAAAGGAGAACAGACTAGAAGAGAAGTTAAGAAGAAAGGAAAAAACACAGTCAGTAGAAATTAGAACATTTAACAAGCAGTCTACAAATATTTTTCATCGTATTTTACTCTTGGTAACAATGGAGTTAAAGAAACCTCGATGGCGTGTTGTACATGTAGCTCAAGAGGACAAAG